AAATCGAGGAGACGCATCTGTTCGCGCAGTTTCGAAGGGAGGTGCTACAAGCGCCAACAGTCGAAAACTCCCCACAGGAGTGTAGCGGCGACTTTCACGCACCACTCCGTGAGAAACACAGTCCACAGCCCGTGCTGCGGATCGCGTAAATGACTGCCATAATATGTCAGGACGGGCCCTAACTCAGCCCAGAAACCCTGACATACCTCGTATTGACTCCACCAGGAAGGGGTTCGTCGGTATCGATTGGTGTGGTGCTGTCTGGAAATTTCACGGGCCTCGATCATCTGGTACGCCACGAAGTATCCAGTGTCGGATCGGACCCGACGTTCAAAGCGTACGGTATTTTGGAAAAAGAAAATACCTCTGCGCTTCGTATGGCGAAAGTTTGTGGAAAGAATGGCTTGGGTCCAAAACATGGCGTCGGTCGTAATGGTGCGTTGGTTGCGCCACAGTCGGTCCGCCTCGCACACGGGGTCACCGTAAGGTGCAGTCGATGAGGTTTTCGAGGTAGAGTCGTTCCCCCTCCGTACGACATTGCCAAGTGTCGCAGTGGTAACATGAAGGTATGAGGGCGTCGGCCATTGGAATCTCGATCCGAGTGAGCACAGCGTCCATGAAGCGCAGGGATAAGGAAGAGCGACCGCGCCGGGAGGGGTGACGTAGGATGGAGGTGGGTATAGCGATGCGGGTGCGCCAATAAAAGGTGTGAATGGCCTGCAAAGGGAGGTTACCGGGCAACATGCCCGCGTCGTCGGCAAAATTATTTTCAATGCCTTCAAGGTCGCGGATGCCCACAGAGGAGAACCATTGAGCAGAAGCGAACAGGGATGCGTTATCGCGCATGGTTTTGTTCTGCAGCTCCTCGAGCGAAGGATGACGGCGGGCTACCCAAGAGGAATGGTAGCCCGGATGGAAGGCCGGTTCGGCAGGGTTGGTAACAGGGGGTAGATGGGGTATGGAAGGAAGACCCCGGGGCACTTCGGACTTGCAAGGAAAGCCCACACCCGGACGTTTACGGGTAGCACTATCGTCTGAGTGTTTTGACGGAGAAGGAAGCATGGTATTTTTGTCTTACCCTTGCTAGAGCGCCGCGCAGAGTGATTGACGGTTGGGAAACACGGTCAGGGACGGCAGGAGATTATACGATGGCTTGGCGCTGTACAAGGGCGCTCAGAAGGGGGATATGTAGTGCAATAATGGGCTCTACATGGGGTTGGAACGAAAGAAAAATAATTGGATATGACAAGTAGTCCGGGTTGGGGGACACACGTGTGAATAATTGCACAGTTTTAATTTTTAAGTATTTTATTTTATTTAGTTAATTAGTTGGCATTAATTTTGCTGACATTAGATTAAATCTAAGATCTAGCGCCGCGAGCTACTGTAGTGGCTCCGGCTGGGCGATATATACCTTAGCCCGCTGACCACCAAGTCAGTAAAGGTAACCCGAGTTGCCGGAGTTAGATCTCGCCTTCGTCGAAGACCGCTTCCGTTCACGCGACGCGCTTCCCTTCTACGCCGCTAACGACATCCTCTATCGCTCGGGGTCCCATTCCTTTTCCTTATCCTTTTACCTTTTCTATCTCTAATTCCTATCCTTTTCTATCTCTACATCTATTTTTCCCGTAATTGTGTTGGTTCCATTGGAGTCGGTTGCAACCGGTCCGGTGTAGGTGTTTTAGCCATCGGGCAACACGTTGTGTAGCGCTGCTACTGTTTCAAGTTCCGTAGGAAGGCTGTTGTAACGACGCCTCCGTCGAAGGTCTTACTGTATAAGACAGAGTTGGTACCACCTACCGCGATCGCGATCGCGCTGGTGAGGGTGTTTTTAGCCATCGGGCAACACATCGGTAGTAGCGTTGCTACACGGTTACGATCCCGTCGGGTAGTGCTGAACAAGCCCCCGTCGAAGACCTTGAGTTATACACAAGGTGCTGAAGACGCTCGTCGAGCATTTGCCTTACAACCCAGCGAACCGCGGTTACATTCTCGTAGACAAGGCCAACCCGCACTCGCCGAGCACTCAAGTCTTCACAAGTCTCTACCACCATTATCCTCCCGGGCCGGGCCTCTTTCCTTACCCCCCGTCGGAGTTGAGCTGCTGTGGGCGGCAAGCCCACACAAGGGGAAAGGGAGTCTCGAACGCTCCGTAGCGCGTGCCATCGGCAGTGGTTGTTGCTGTTGCTGTTTTTCTTCTTTTTGTTTGACCGTCGGACTGTGTTCGCGGCCTGCTAAGCACATTGCACTACAAAGGCCTCAGAGAGGCCAGCGGGAGGAGTGACCGGCGCCGCGACGCCGGGGTCCGACTCTGGCCGACGCGGCTCGTCGGCCTCCGACGCTGGCAACGGCGCGGCCCCTGCCGGCGCGAACACCAAGGGCGTACGAGCGGGCCGCGACTTCTGGAACGCGATGACGGGCGCTCCCGTAGGAGCCACGGAACCCACGGAGGGGGAAGTAGAGACACTCGCGGCATCGGCCGTCGCGGTGGACGGACCGGCAGCGTCCCCCGACGAGGCGGGGAGCGGAGGTGTCATAACAGGAGGAGCAGCCGGCGCGTGTGACGAGCAAGCGGGCGTGCGCGAGTGGAAGTAGAGGAGTCACGATGTGGAAAGGAGGGATTATCGGGGAGACAGCACGCGACACACCTTGCCAAGGGGAATTGCTGCAACGATAGCTACCACGACACGCGACCGCGGACGGTCACCTTTAAGGGGGGGGCCGTTTGGTATAAGCCCCGCCTGGGGGACGTAATTGTAGTGCAATACGCACCTGACGAGGGGGGTGAAAAGAAGTGAAAAAGGAACCAAATTGGATACTGTAGTCCGGGTTTGGGGGACACACGTGTGCGACGAAGCGCACGATTATTTTAATTATTTAATTTATTTACTAATTAGATCTAGAATCTAGAGCCGGGAGCTACTGTACTCGCCCCGGCGGGGCTCTATATAACTTAGCCCTTTGACCGATCAAGTCAATAAACCAACCCGAGTTGCCGGAGTTGAATGTCGCCTTGGTCGAAGTCCGTCTCTACCAAGACGCTCCCTTTTACCTAAGCCTACGGCATCCTTTGCGCTCGGGGGTCCCCTTCTTCCTTATCAATTTTCCTTTACTTCCCTATTCTAATTTCCCTTAATCTTGAGTTGGTCCCACCTTGTAGGATTGCGATCCGCATCGTGACGTCATTAGCCATCGGGCTTCTGTGTTGGTGCACCAGTGGTGCTTTTCTCAGCGTTGGTTCCATCGGAATCTGGTTGCGACCAATCCGGTGTTGGTACTTTGCCATCGGGCAGTACGACGGTGTAGCGCTGCTACGTTTTCTTCTTTCCCGAGGGGCTACGTTGCGACGTCCCCGTCGAAGACCTTATCAAGGGTATAAGGTGTACAAGGCGCTCTACGAGCATTGGACTTACGACCCATCGGACCAGGTTTACCTAGACGCCTCTCCGAACTCGTCCAGTAGCTGCCTTTACAAGTCTCTACCACCATTTACCGATCCCGGGCTGGGCCCTTCTCTTTGCCCCCGCTATCAGGGATCCGAGCTACTGCGTGCCGCAAACCCGCTTAAAGAGGACAGGGAGCTTCGAACACTCCGTAGCGCTGTGCCGTTGGCAGTTGTTGTTTTTGTTGTTGTTGTTTGAGTTGGACCGTCGGACCTTGGTCTCTGCCTGACAGGCGCATTGCACTACAGTAATTAGATTAGATTGAGAACCAGATCAGCTACGGTAGAGCCCGACGCTCTACAGTACTGCCACGAGTACCCCACGGGTCCAGGGCGCACGCGTGCACACGTGCACACGTGTAGCGCGCGGGACGGAAGCGCACACACACGTGTACTGTCAGCGCCGATGGCTGACAATATTACAGTACGGTCCGAACTGTACTACAGTAGTCCACTACAGTCGGTACTGTGGAGTTGTAGATTGTTTTGTATATTAAATATGGAGCGGACCGGCGGCAATGGAAGAGGACAAGCACGGAATTGTCACCCACCGACCGTCAAGGTCCGTCTTCCAGCTTACCTAACACGCGCGATCTGCCTTCGAGCGCGTTAAACGGGACAAAGCGGGTAGGGGACACACACGTACGCGAGCGAGCCTAGATCTGCCTCCGCCCGTCAGCGCTGGTACGTTACCCAGCGCTGCCCCGGGGCGTCGCAGCGTAGATCGGCCTGCGCGTACGCTCGTCTCCGACCGTCCCGCTCTACCACGCTACCAGGGCCCGCTTCCCTGTCTCGTTAGCTCTGCGTTCTCCCCGTCTTCTCCCCTCCGAAGGGTCAACGTCGAGCTAAAGCATACACCCCTCTACGTCAGGGGGGGTGTTTATGCTACACGTCGCTGCCATGGTCACCACGCCCGCCGACGTGCTGGTCACCAAGCCAGTATATACATGGACATATGGTATATGCATCTTTCGAATGCAAAAGATCGCTCGCGAGAAGAGGTGCGTATTTTATACGCGGAAGTGAGGCCGCGGTTTACCGGCGGTTACATGCGTCACGCGGGGGCGGGGGAGCATGTGCGGCGGGGGAAGGCGGGGGGGGGGGCGAGATGCACGAAAGCTCTGTGACGGGGGTGCGCGCGCTTCGCACGCTGTCGCGAGATGTGGTATACGCGGCGCGAGTCGCTCGCGCGCGCTCCTGACCGCGCCAGCTGTGGGCGTTCCCCGCGGCTCCGGGACACGTCGCTTCGTTGTGCGCGCTCGTGCTCGCGCGGCGGCACTGGTGCAGACAGGAGTGGGGTGGCGGGCACGGTGGGTGGCCACGCAATCTCGCCGCAAGATATTTTATCACGGGAGCAAAAAGGTTTTCCACCCCCGACGCTGCGCAGTACCTCCGAGTGCACAGAGAGCGGACGCCGAGAGATTCGGTGAGCAGATGCTTTCCAGCGGGCACGCGCGCGATGCGATGCAAGTCGTGAGTTAAGACACAAATAAATGATGAGTCTCTCGCTAGAAGACAAACTGTGCGCTTCTCGCTTGGCCGCGTGGCCTTCGCCGCGCTACCCTTTGATGACGGCCATCGGCCGCAGCTTCAGGCACTTTCGCGAAATCCCGGCTTGGTCGCATATGTCCACTACCGCGGATTCGTCCTTGTAACTATGCAAGCACGACACAAACCAAAGAACAAGACAGCGCACAAGCACACTGGGTTAGCAAAAGAAAACCGCTGCGACTCTCCTTTCTCACAACACGAAAGAAAAAAACTTGACGCCTTCCTGTCACCTACCTCTGGCGCCTCCTCAGTGATCAGCTTTGGCGACGCGACGCGAATCGCATTCCCCTTTCCCTCCAAGTTGTTCAACACCTCTTCATAGTTAAGCTGCTGCCGGCAAGCGGACTGCCTCTGCGCCCGCCCCGCCCCATGGCACGTCGACCCAAATGTCTCTTTCATCCAATTTTCGGTCCCAAGCAACACATAGCTGCACGTCCCCATCGTGCCTCCGATCAGCACGGGCTACCCCATCATCTGGTAGTCGTACGGCACTAGCGGATGGTGCGGCGGAAAAGCACGCGTCGGCCCCTTATGGTGCACCAGCAACTTCCTCACTTTCCCATATACATTGAGCGTTTCTACTTTGGCAATGTTGTGGCTCACGTCGTAGATCACGTGCATGTTCTCCTCTGCCGGCGACTTTTTAAATAACTTTGCAAACACCTGTCTCGCTAAGAACGTCATCAAGCTCCGGTTGACCCAGGCAAAATTCGCTGCGGCTGCCATTTCGGCCAAATGATTGCTCTCGATCCGCGCACACGCGAGCTGCCTATCACTCACCACGATCCCATCCCTCGCCATCTCCTTTTCCATATGCTGCAACGCATCCGTAGCCACCTGATGTGCCAAGCCCCTGCTCCCCGAATGGATCATGGCGACGACTTGTCCGACAGTCGTGACGCCCATCGCCGCAGCCGCCGTTTCATCAAAGATCTCATCCACAATCTGTATCTGAGCGTAATGATTGCCGGCGCCCAGCATGCCCAGCTGGATCAAGCTGCGCTTCTTCGCGCATGCAGACACTTCGCACGGGTCTGCCTGGAGCATGCGGCCATTCTCCTCGCAGTACTCCCTGTCCTCGGACCAGGCATAGCCCTCACGCAGGGACTAATCCATACCGAGCTCCAAGGCGGCCTCGAGCGACTGGATGGTCGTCGGGATGATGCCTTTTGAACCGACGCCGACAGGAATGTGGTCGAAGAGCGTCTGGGCGAGCACATCCTTAAATGGATGGACATCCTGCTCCATGAGATTAGTGCGCAGCGGCCGCTGCGAATTGCGGCGTCCGTCCGGACGGACGCCGCAGTTTATGTCAATGCCCACACCACCCGGCGAGAAAACGGCCTGCGGGTCGTCCATATCGAAGGCCGCGACGTTCCCGATGGCAAAGCCGTAGCCTGAATGGACGTCGGGCATGGCGATGGAGCGTGCGACACTTCCCGGGAGTGAGGAGACGTTGGCGATTTGCTTGACGGCGGGCAGAAAGCCGCCCGAGAGAGACGGGTTTTTGGCGGCGCGCTCAAGCTCGGCATTGACTAGCGGTGCGAGGACTTCGTTCACGTAAAGGTGCCCGGGGCAAGCATGTCGGGGACGAAGCCGATGGAGATATCTTAACGGCATGGGGAAACAAGACGAAGGTAGGACAACTCTTCCTCGTAGGTGCAACGGCGCGGCTTGGGAGTAGGATCTTCGACCTCCATGGCTTGATGGAGGGGTGGGTTGGTACACTACATGCAGGTGATTTTCGGATTGGTACCTGTAGTCGCTGCTCTACGTATGGAATTACAACCCCTTGCTCGTTTAAAATAACCTGCGATCCTGTCTCTGTCCTCCGCTCGTCAGTTGTTCGTCCTCTTCTTCGTCGCTCGTCGTCTTCGCGTACGCGGGCGGCGGCGGCGGCGGCGAGGCGGCGTGGGGCGGGGACGTGAAGAGGCTGCCTGTGTTCCAGTACGGCGAGGCGATGGCCAAGACGGGGTGCGGCTTCGTGTTGTGGAGCAGCTGGACGTTCCATATGTCACTAGTCATCGCTTCGCAAGTTGTTGAACTTCTCAACAGCCTCCGATAGCCCCTTTTCGCAGATTGAAATAATGCCCTCGCCAGCCCCTGCGTCTCTCACCCTTTTCAACCGCATTGTGCGCTTCTCGATGATGTCATACCAGTCCTCTTTTTTAAGTTTGTCGGAAAGCGAGGTAGGCTTCCTAGCTACGTTCGTGGTGCTGTGTGCATTTGTCATAATATCCTTCACCTCGCCCCAGCGATCCTTACTCTCCATTCTCATTTCCTTAATTTATTCCCCAGCCACCTCTTATGACGCACTCCGCCTTCTCTTGCCAGATGATGAATTAGGCTTCAATGCAGAACTCATACCCCCCTCTTCCATACCAATCTCAAATGTTTGTAAACTTACATCTAACAAGAACTGGTCTGGTTCCTTAGTGCCCAACCGGCATACCACAAAAAATATCCAAACTCGCTTCATATCCATTGTCGCAACGTTCCCTTCCTTGTCATGCGGACCTAAAAAATATGGAAGTTATACGGATCGTTGTTTCCCGACTTACGGTAATCCTCAAATTGTTTTGTGAACATAGATCGTGTCCTTTGATAGAGATTCTTCAACTTTTCAGCAGATCTCTCGCAAAGGGGGGGCTCCGAGGAATATGCCCCCGGTACGGACGTGGAGAAATCCTGTTTATATGAAATAAAATGATCATTAAAGCGCCTCGCAATAATCCGCCAGAGGTCATCCCGAGTAAAATTTGTGCGAAAGTTGTCTAGCGTGAGCGCGTTGTTAAATTCCAGTAATGCTTTCCTCGAAGGAGTATCATCACACAGAGTTACACATAGCCTCACAAATTCAGAAATTGAGAATAATGGCACTACATTTGCGGGGATGCTTGAAGGATTTTTTTGTAGAGAAAGCTCTCCATTGTCGCCCAAACCTCGATCTCCACACTTCCTCAGGGTCTGTACAATTATTTGGACTGGAAGTAGTTTGTCGAAATCGCATACATTCTGTTCAAATTCTTCTATGAACTGGTTCAAACTGCTGAATTTTGTATTCCCATCACACGTTCTTTCAAATGAAACTCCCTCCCTCTCCCTCTGCAGCACCAAAAGGTAGTTTCGGTACACCAGTTCCATCTTGTTTCCTGATGTACGACGTTTACATTCTTTTCCAATTTCCCCGTTTGTCCGCTTTGTTTTCTTTGCGATGATTGTGAAAAGCTTATTCTCCATGGGGACGTCATGGTCGTCGTGCACATTTTCGAAAAGTGCTCTCGGCGGCAGTTAAACGTCAACGACGCCACTTTCCACAGCTGCTTCTGTTCTCCTGACACTAGTTGCGAATGATTTTGGCGAGCTCCTTGTGCACACAACAACGGCCGATAGCACGAAAATGGACGCAGGAGCGCACGGAGCGTTGCATTGCGTTGGCGTTGTTAGCAACGATTTCTCAGCTGCAAGCCAACGGGGGGAACGCCTTGGCAATCCTTCCATTTTCACGAGATCGCGACAGCTACAAGCACTACCAATACAGAACCGCCAGAGGCGGGAGGTTTGGCGCAAATACGAATGAAAAAAGAGGAAAGAGATGTGTGGAAGTGAGACAAAAGGAAGATTCGCTCCCGGCAGTAGACGCCTCCAAAAAACAGACACTTCTTACAGTGCTGAGATAAAGTTTAATGTTAAAGATTAACATCGAACTATCCAATGAATAGGCTGCAGGTCACTCAATGATATTGTGAAGGCGAGTGATCAAGATTTCTCTTGAGTTAGAACCGGGTCTCAGCAACAACACAATGGACCTAGCCCGAAATGAGAGGTCCCCAGGTGTCACTGTAAGAAGCATCGCCAAACAGTGAGACTTTATCCGTTTTCTGCCAATCCTTTTCGAGTCGACTCGTCTGATTGGCCGTTATCGACGTGCAGTTCGATAGCTCGAAGCACTAGGTAAAAAGTGAGCTATAAAGCGTCAAAATTAACGTACACTGTAGTTAGTGATCATTAAAAAAAGCGCTAGGGATATCACAAGGCTTGGCAATTGTCTATTTTAACTAACCATCCTTTATACTTGTCGTCACTTGTTTCCGCCAGGTTAGTGCCATCCCGAGTAACTCGCTTTCTTCTGCACAAAGTATATACATTACACTAATGCTACTCTTAGAGTCTGTCTTTCCTTCAAGCTCTGTACTGCCTAGGATAGATAGCATTTGCTTCTTCTAATTGCCCGTCGTTCTCTTCATCAAAAGCTTCCAGCATCGCCTATTCCTCTGGCGTTTCCCCTTCCTCTAGCGTTGGCCGTTCCTCTGGTGTTGGCTCTTCCTCTGGCGTAGCATCGAACTCCTCCGGTTCGATTCCGGTCTCGTCTTTTTCTTCTCTCATATCCTTCAACATGCTACCCAAAAACTCGTACAAGTCACAATCATCCGACAAGGCATCATTTCGGGTCGGATAGTACCGCACATCTGGCTTAATTCCGAAGTTTTCTACTATAGCGCCTTTACTCGTCCCGCTTCGGAAAAAGCGCAGAAATGCCGTAGTGAACTCAGATTCCACCTTCTTTATCTTTTGCGGGAATAACTCAGCAAGTTGAGAGTATCGATAAACGGAAGCGCCCCCAGCTCCAACGTTGTCCGATACACCGACTACACGCGAAAACCCATAGTCTTTTTGCAAGGACGTATATAAATCCCCTGCAGAGTAGCACATTCCATCCACCAGGGTTATCACAGGGCCAAAGTAAGCCCGAGGAACAAACCGCTCCCTGAACTCTGAAGAATATAAGTCAAGAATTGGACCTGTGAACTGCTCACCAATAGCAAGTGATGTGTTTAGCGCGCGGATGAGCGGGGGAAACGGGGCAAATTCCTCCGCGGTCACATTTTTCGTGTCTGCCGACAGCAACAGGTCTTGCAGAAACTGGGACGCCCGAAGTGTAAGTGGGTTAGGCGGCACGGTCTCGCTTACTAGCGATTCAGCGAGCACCTTGGCGTAGTCCCCATCTCCCCCTGAATTGTATCGAAGATCCATGATCAATCCGTTGAGGGGCATGAGGCGCAGGATGCGAGCAATTTCCAGAGCCAGCCCCAATGACACGCGAGCTCCGAAATCTGGTATTACAAATCGACCGATTAGACCGGATTTGGTTAGAATCACTTCTGCGGTGAAGCGCTCAGTGAACTCGGATGAAACCTCGATTGGCACACGGCCGTTCTCGACGACTCGCGTAGTGATGTCTAACGGCTCTGCGGTAACTTCTTCGTACAACTTGCGCTTGTCCGCTTCGGAGAAAACCGCACGATTGGGCCTTCCATGTAGTGGTTGATATGCAGCAGGATGCACTGCATGGGACATGGTGTCCGCGGCCTCTTGGGTATTAAGTTTGGCAAAGAACCATGGGAGCGTGATCGATTTCCTGATTCCCTCTGTTGTCAGATAAACTATATCGACAGTTGGACTGAAAGGAATAGGATCGGTTGATAGATATCGGAAGTACACCAGAAAAATGCCAAAATCGATCTGGGCTGCTAGGTTGGAGGCAGGAGAATTCTTGCCGAGAGTGAGAACATGCTTGTCGATGGGCACACCATCGATAAGGAGTAGCTCTGATCCGATACCAAAGGAAGAATTGGACGGTATGAGCTCAGCGAGCAAATCATTGACGATATACTGTCGTTGCCTGGATCCTTCCTCGAAAAACTTGGCGACGACGAAGCCAAGCGTGGCGACGGAAGATCTCAACGGTTCCGGCGAGACAAATACTGAATGATAGTCATCCATGAGTTGGAAAGCATTCATCATGTTCTCATGAAACTCGACATTGGTCATTTCTTCGGTGATGTCAATGCTGTCCAGCGCGGCTGGAAAATCGATCTTGAGGAGGTTTTCATGTAGAAATCGGT